GTTTTAGAATGCGATGCAAATACATATAAAATGCACATTCATTAAATTGTAGGGAAATTCCTGCTTAAGAATTATATGTATATCAAAATAATTGAATCAAAACGTCTACAAGATTTAATAATCGCTAGAAACAATCACATTTCTGCTGACGTGAATTCAGAAAAATAGATTGTTTTTACATTATATCAGAAAATTCTACATATGTCAATACGATTTCGTGCTCCTACTTACACATTACAATTTTTTTTGAGTTGCAGATTGCTGGCAGTTTTGCGGTTCAAAACTAACAAATTATGAAGTCATCAAATGCATGATTATTAAAAAAAATAACGTGCAAATATATTTATTATATATTTATATTCAATTTATATTTATCTTATTTTATGTGTTTTGTTTCATATATTTTATGAAATTATTTATTTTCAACAAACTTAGTTTACAGTAAATACATTCATTCAAAGAAGACACGATTGACTCAAAAATTATGAAAGGAAATAGTCTGGAGAACTGCTTTAAGCTGAATGAACTAGCAAATCTTATTTGTTACTGAGTACTTCTATTCATTGAAGGGTAGAAATATCATTTGTTTGGAAAACATTCGTTTCAAAATACCGTAAACCTTTCCTAGAAAACCTTTTAGTTGTCTCAAAGTCAGATCCAGCCAAGCTAGCAAGTCTGAAATGTTGACATTAGTAGCTAAAAAAGAATAACTCGACACTATGGCTAGAAAATCTGAATGATTAAGATGTGTGGTGTTACAATTATGGGAGCAATAATTTTATTTATTTGCTGAAATATTAAACTACTAATAACTATTAAGAAAATTTCAATGATTTATTCGTTAAGTACGCCCAGCAAAAATATTATTGCAATGCGAATAAACATAAATTTCAGTCATGGTCATTAGTTTCAAATTTTTGCAAAGAATACAAATCTGAGCGAGTATTAAATTTGAGCTGAAAACCAAAGATAGAAATAGTACTGAAGTAATAAGAGATATGAAATCAGAGTTAAGGACTTCTTATCACTAGTAAAATAGATCATGAAGGTATGGAAGAGATTTAGTTTGAAAAGGATAAAGTACTCAGTGTTCTAAACATAGATCTACACCAAGTGACAAACTCACACGAGATATTTGATGTGTCGTGTAGATGCATTTACAGATTGATATTATTATTATAGGAATTTTTAATTCTTTCAATCTTAATGTTTTCAAATCACTGCTATTTCAAGACTCAAAACTGAAAGAAATACAGGCTGCTAAAATCAAGAAAAGTTGTATTAAAAACAATCAAAAATTATTGCTAATTGATATACCCCATTAAATTCGTAAATCAAATTAAATGTTCTTTCAACGTTTTAACCCATAAATCAATTTCTAGATAAAAGTAATGAACTAAATCAGACATTATGTAAGAAATAACATATTTCATACTTTCTTATATTAAAAGTACAAAGTAGGTCAGAGTAAGCATTCTCTATTAATTTTAGCAATTTTTTGAGATTTTTTGTTGCATATGATGACAGTCGTTTTGATTTAATTGGTTCACATCGTGACTAGTCGAGACTAGATATTATTAGTTCACTTCGATTCACTTTTCCATAAAATAAATAACAGTAGTTAGTGTAAGTGTAACTTTTCTTGTAAACTTCTCCTATGAAATAACGTGTAAAGTTTTGATTTACTTAGGACTACTTTGTGTCGTTTCAATTTTTTAACTAGACAGTTGTTAGCATTTGTGAACCGTTTCTCATTAATGTAGTTGAAAAGCTGGCGCGTTTGGGGCTTTTATTATTGTGCTGTTTGATAATGGAAAAGCCGTCATGAACAAAATTGTGTATATGAAATTATGCTGAATTATATTTTGAGTTTGGATCAGCTTTGATGTATTCTGTATGAAATTGGTGATTTTGTTGTCCTTTGCTGAAGAAGATTAAAAACACAGTCTTATAAATGAAATATTGTCGTGAGAGACTAATTGGGTTTAGTTGAACGAAGACAGATGTAAAAAGTAGTGATAAATGACCGTTTGCTAATTGAATAGATTTCACCTTTGTCATTGCATGCATATTTCATGATTGAAGGAAACATTATTTGATGCTATCACAAATATTAAACCCTTATTTCTGTAAAAGGAATAACTTTGGCAAACTTTACATTTCTTACGTTTTTTATGCTTTGGTGTATTATTTTAAATCTTTAAATTGAAACGTTTTCAAAATATTTATTGGGTTACATATATGGGCAGTAGGCTTTCGTTACATTTTTATTTTACTTGTCCATCACTCCATCTATGAAAGTTAAGAACACAAAGATCCCACTCTTTGTACTGGTCTATTTTCATTACTAGCTGCATTTCCTTTCCAGTTGTAATATTTAGCTGAAGTGAATATCAAACAGTGAACTATCAAGGAAGTCAAGTTTAAACTAGCTTTATTATTTAGAGATTGCTTTATATACATATGTTATTACAGCATAGATAATAAGTTTGATCTTCAGCACTGGTCCGTTATGGAAGATACTCTAGAACCAACGCTGAGGAATGTTGTAGAGCAGTCGACATTAAAATGGATTTTCGTTGGCGGTAAAGGTGGTGTTGGTAAAACCACATGCAGGTATTCTTTTCATTTCATTCATTCTTTTATGACTGGAATTATTTAGCAAACCTGATTTCGCTTGCAGCTGGAACAGGCTGTGTAGCATAACTCATTCATTTTTTTCTTGTATAAGAAGCATAAAAATGGTTTTGAAATTCAGAATCACTCAGAATATAAATATTGATGACAACAAGTTATTGTAGTTGTTCATTAGCTATTCAATTAGCTCAAGTGCGGCGAAGCGTTCTCTTGATTTCTACCGATCCTGCGCATAATATATCTGATGCCTTTGCTCAAAAATTCAACAAGACTCCGAGCGTTGTAAATGGATTTACCAATCTTTATGCAATGGTTTGTATTGTTAATTGATTTTATATTAGTTGCACATGGTTTTCATTGTATTACTACTGGTTTATTCGTAGGAAATTGAAGCGAGCTTTGGGAGCGACACTTCATCAGTCATTCCTGGATCAGAAAATAATGAAGGGGGTTTGTTTACATACTTCATTGCTGACTAATAGAAGTAAGCTGAATTTCTTGCTAAATTCCATTTTAAAGTATGTTTTTCCTCACTTTGAAAACTTAAATGAAGTCAAATCACAAGTGATATTATGTTTTGTATCTAATAGCACGGATTCAGAAAAATGTTTTGAGTTTGTTCACTTTCTTTCAGATATGATGAATCTTGGTCGACAAGTATTACAAGAAATGATTGGCGGTCTTCCGGGAATTGATGAAGCAATGAGTTTTTCGCAAATGATGAAGTATTAGTTTTACATGGACGCTAGCTATTTTATCATTTTCATTGTTTATTTACTTATGAAATCATATTAACTTTTAATTAATATTAATGGTTTCTTACACAGCGTAGAAAAAATATTTTAAATTATTCTTTGCATCTTTGGTTTTTTTTGAAGACTGTTGTTTTCGGTTAACCAGATTTACTATTTCACTCAGTGTTGTCACTCTATTGAAAAATCGCGTTCACTTAAGATTTTTGGATGTATGTATCTTTGTTATCTAAATTATGAATCAAATTTAATTAGTTCTTTGTGTTGAAATTTGAAATATTCTAGGCTCATACAATCAATGGATTTCGATGTAGTTGTTTTTGACACAGCTCCTACTGGTCACACTTTGAGATTGTTACAATTTCCGACGCTTATTGAAAATAGTTTAGGCAAAATTATTAACTTGCAAAGTTCTCTTGGTCCTCTAATGACACAGGTTAGTATGTTCTGTTTTTGAAAATTTTTAATCATTCATTACTGAGTAATAATTCCTGTAGTATTTATCAAAAATCATTTCAGATTTGTAATTATAGATTATAGTGGACATTTTGGTAATAATGAAAAATTTTTTTGGAGATGAAATTTGCATTAAAAAAAGGTAGTGAAAGCGACCAAGAGTTAATAAAAGTTTCTTTCACTAAGATTTTATTTTATTCATTCATAATATCCATTAGATTTTTGTTGATATTAAGTTGTTTTAATACAGCAAACTTCAATAATTTCATTGCAATATCATGAGTTCTTAAAAGCCCATCTGGTTCCAAATCCATGCATTTTGCTACTTTCATCTTTCTGATTGTAGAAAAGTTTACTTCTAATCTACATTTAGATGGGTGGAATGTTAGGCCTTGGTGAAATGACAGTGGATGATACTGCAAATAAGCTTAGTGAAACACTGGACGTCGTAAAGAAAATAAATTCCCAATTTAAAGATCCTGTATGTTTCATGTATTTTCTGCTAAAAATTTGTATCATTGTGTCATCGTAGTAATAATGAAACACGTACTTTATTAATTTGATAATAAGTTCGAAGCAATTTTTTTATCCACAAACAGTAGTTGAGTCAGTTTGTTTCAGGATCTTACTACATTTGTTTGTGTTTGTATTGCTGAATTCTTGTCACTGTACGAGACAGAACGACTCATTCAAGAACTAACAAAGCAGGTAATTTGTTAGACCTCATTATTGAAATATAAATGATGTTGAGTATCGCTAGATTTTTTTTCCAGAATATCGATACTCACAATATTATTGTCAATCAGTTGTTGTTCGCAGACGAAGATGAGGAAGGTTGTATAAAGTGTAAGAAGTGCTCAGCAAGGTCAAATATACAAAGGAAATATTTGGAACAGGCTTGTATTATGAAATACTAATTATAGCTTTATTCTAAATAAGATGACGTTGTAATTCGTTTTCTACAGTTATTTATATTTGCCAGAAAAATTTGATGAGGACGTAATAGTTAAATTTCAGATTGATGATCTGTATGAAGATTTCAATGTTACTAAATTACCTTTACTCGATGAAGAAGTACGTGGTACCGACCACTTACGCAGTTTCAGTCGTTTTTTGGTTGTTCCCTACAAATCAAAAATAGAGAAATTTGATAGTTCGTTAAATCTATAGTGAAAATAACGTGTAAAAATTTATGTTTTCTGCAATTGTTGTGAGTTGTTGTTTGTTTTTTTTCCTCACTGTTTTGCTTGTTTGTCATTTTAATTTTTTTGAGATGTGAAGCTTGGTGTGTTTTTATTAAATTGGCAATATTTCCTTTCATAGTACGTTTGAGTCATTACATATAAGAGCATACGAAAGGAAAATAGCTAGAAATTTATTTGATTCCGGTTTAGTATGCTGCAACGAAAGTTAAATTGGTGAGTATTTTCTTCAAATTTTGCTTCTCATTGGTTTTCAGAATTTCGCTCATTTCATTCTGAATAGTTGCATCGCTCTTCGTCTTGACTTCGTATTTATGTTTTTCATGAGATGAAATCAGTCTTTATGTTCATTATTAGGGACAGGTAATACTAACAACTAATCCCAAAATTTTTGTTTAGTTGTAAAGTCACATCATTTCAAGCAAAACTGGATTATTGCAAGTCGTTTTTTCTAGGAAATTATTTATTGATGAAGAAAATTGTCGTAAATCGCATGCCATGAATTTCTGTGGACTACGTTACAACATATTCAGAAGCAAAAATACGAGTTTATAAATGATATGGTTTCTTGTTCTCTTCAGTTGCTTGACTCTTCCAAATTTTTATCGCTTTTCCAAGTGATGGATATTTGAACTAGTCAAGCAGACGATATTCTTGGAAACTTGAAGTTGAGCTTTGTGAATTAGTTGGTACCATGCTGACCTGCCCATTTTTTAAATTTCCATGAAGAGCCTTGTGATGATGAGAAAAACTAAAGATTAAGTGAAGACTAGCTAATTTGGAAGATTTTCACATCAAATAAAAATTATCTTATTGTGTATGTCGTAACTAATAGGAGCAGTTGCGTATTATTTTCAGTTTAGTACTGACAGAAACAAAGGATGAAATATTGAAAAGAAAACTTAAGTACTTCTTAAACTGAACATAAGTTGTTAGAAGAGGTTGTAGGAAATTAGTGAAATTTGTAATCGAGAACGATATATGGTAATTTGATATATCCTTTATGGGGAAAGTGCTTTATCCGATACTTGTAGTAATGCTTGTTCTTTTGACTGTGCATATCAATTAAGGAAAACATTATGAAAACGTTGTATGCCGCCAAACTGCTCAGCAAATGGAAGAGCGCATGAAAATATGGAACTCCTAAAATGCTAATAATTTTACGAATTAAAATTTTATAGTAATAGAATCCAAAGCTATTCCCTAAGAAAATTATTGATTTATATTTGATGAAATTAATATATTGACAGTAATTAGGAATGAAAATAGACTGATGATAAAGAAAATAACCATAAATGAACTTTGCATTTCATTCGAAACTTTGTAACTTATTTTATGAAGTATAGATAACACCTAAAAATAGCCAAAAGTCGCAAAAAATTCGATCTGATATCCAGGATATCGAAGCAGCAGTCCACAATGTTAGTATCTTCCCGGGAAAACCGGCAATTTCAGAAATACACGAACTGAAAGAAGCGCATTTTGTTTCGTGAAGTGATGATCATAGAACACTGCATTTTATTTTTTTTTAACCTTGAAAAGTCAAGTGTATGTAGAAAAAAAACTTACTTTGTACCTTCGTAATAAATAATGATAAAGATAAAATAAAAAATAAAATGCAGTGTTCTATGATATCCAGGATATCGAAGCAGCAGTCCACAATGTTAGTATCTTCCCGGGAAAACCGGCAATTTCAGAAATACACGAACTGAAAGAAGCGCATTTTGTTTCGTGAAGTGATGATCATAGAACACTGCATTTTATTTTTTTTTAACCTTGAAAAGTCAAGTGTATGTAGAAAAAAAACTTACTTTGTACCTTCGTAATAAATAACAGAAATACATGGTATAGACCACAACATAAGCACTAAAGCGTTCAGTGATGGTTTCACGAAACAAAATGTGCTGACTACTGCCGTCGCTATGGCTATTACACATCTTACCCTATTACTGAATAATATTTTATTAGTAAAGCTTTTCTGGTTTCGAAGTTTATTCAAGTTCTTAGTTATATTTATTTAAATAGTCATTAGCATTGAGCGTATAAAATTTTTGAAAAATTAAATATCAAAAACCACCATTATATATCCCTTTACAGAACAAAGTAGCAAATATGCAATTATTTCAACTAAGGCAATGAAGTACAAAAACATACACATATTTGTAGTATTGTTGTGGATAAAATCTTGTAACTGGAAAATAAGTAGCTATACCCATCATTATTAACCATAATATGCTAATTTCATCAATAAGTTGACCTAAATTACAGTAAGAATAGTTCATCGATGACATAACAAAAGTTGTTCTGTTTTTAATTTCAGCTATTATTGCATTTTAACAGAGGCCGAAAGGTGTGAATAAATTCGAAATTGTAAGATGAAGTAAGACAGTATCTAATGGATAAAAATTTTTGCAATTAAATATATTGCATTACTGATAAAATTGGCATGCATGAACAATTATTACCAAAAAGATTGAGAGTAGCATGATAATAGGTAGATGCAATACCATTTATAGTTAAGAGAATATGAGGCAGGATTACAACCCAATTAACATTTTCAATATATGGTTTTATAAGGCAAACGTTTACCAATGGTAGCGCGATCAACGGTAAGTTTGTTACCTCAAATAATGCAATTAACTTTGAGTAGAAAAAAAACAAGTTACTGAATCAATTATCTTTGTCATTCACGAAAACATTTCCAACAGGATGCAGTGCTAATTAGAAAGCCATATCTTATGACCTTTAAATAATTTAAGGCATAAAAATGAAATCATTATAACTAAAAATGAAATGAAAAAATTTGTCCTGTAAATCAATGCTAAAAAAAATATGCAATACTAAAGATGGACTGACAAATTTGTAATTACAATTTTCATTAAAATTGTTGTTTTTGATCTTATAATTTCCTATCTAATCACTTTAATGGCATATAAATATTTTTACGATATCAATGCTCGGCATGATAATAATAATGGAAGCAATATTAAAAATAATAATGATAAAAATACGCTTGCAATAAAAATAGGGATACTGAATAGGGGCTGGAATGCTGGAATCTTCTTGATTAATAGCAATATTATTTGGTCAGTTTTTCATTACAATGTTTTTTTTGCCGTACCATTACAACAATCTTATTTATATTTAAAGATCAATTTTATAAAGTGAGAATTATTTGCTTTACAAATAGTAACAAAAATAATTGAAATAACTAACGGTATTGGCAAATTCGGCTACAACTGAAATAGTTTGGTATTTGTAGGCACTTTCACACCATGCATGACCACTTTCATATTCAAACCAGTGATTTAATTGCATCGTTATTTGCTGCTACCAGTGAAAATTTAATTTGCCTTTACATGAGCAACAAAATTAGCATAAAATTATGGAATTATTACTCTCATTATGACTAACATGAAAGATCAATCTTGCGACAAGCAACTGAACTACAAAATAATTTGACAAATTTGCTCAAAAATAATTACATCACATAAGGGAAACTAAATTTGAGCTGTTGAAAATTAAAATTTTGTTATCTTCACGATGCCTGATTTTTTCTTCATATATTCAAACAGAGATTATAGTGCTTGCGCAACTTTGATAAATAAATAAATTAGCTTTTAAATGACAAAATACTGATTTTACTAGCAGTGTCAAAGTGATTTATTTCTCAAAAATAATTTTATAGCCAATAAAAATGAAATATTATATGAATACGCGGTATTGTCTTTTGTTTTTTTTAAATTTTCTTAATATCTATTTATCTATTTGTTTGTTTATTCATTCATCGTGCATTCACCTATTCAATGAACAACAAACGTTCTAAGATATCTAATAGTCTGCCAACATGCATAACATCAATACTTCACAGCTACTACATTTTGATGGGCAATAAAAATTGTGACAACTTCCGTAGTAATTATTCTAATAAAAAAATGTCAACAAATATTAGTGTCCAAATAACTTTAATGTATAAATTTATAATAGAATTAAATTGATTTGGTTACAATGCAAATATGGGCAACGTCACTGTAGTAAATACTGGTAAATAATTTTACTTACTGTATGCTCTAAACTTGAAATCAAAATAAATTTGATTTTATATTAATGAATGAAAGTAACAAAAGGAGTATGTAAAAAAGGCAACTTTTATACTTAATAAACAACATCTTTTGAAACACTTTAGTCAATTTTAGTCATTTGTTTTCAATTACAGTTATTAGTTCATCTTTTACAGCGATTCAAAGAAAAAAAAAACAATCTTACAAGGGAAGTGATTCATGTAAACTTTAAATAAGGCGTTTTAGTAGTTCTATATGCAACAACTTATTCTTCAGACAATCAGAAAAAAAACCGGCTTCTAATATGAATTAAAATTAAAATTAAAATTAATCAACAACAAAATTTTTAATTTTGCTCATTATAGTAATAATGAAGTTCTTTCAAATCAGAAATAAGATTACCACTAAAAAGATGAATAATTTTGTTATCATTTCATAAAATAAGAAATTGCTCCGCAATTTAATTACATAAAATTAATTGAGAGCAGAATAACGACAGAAGAAGAATGGATAGTTGAATCGCATTAATAGTAATGATTGTGAAGCTAAAAATTATACATTCCTTTTTCACAAAAATTTTAAGGTAATAAAATTTTTTGCTTTCATGCATTCACTTTTTCTTTCAATTTAATAATACAAACATTTCAACTGAAAACAAAATTTTGTTAAATAAATAAATAACTAGTATGTTGTATTATACCAAAAAACGCATAAAACATTAATAATTCTGACTTTTGTCGTATCACATATTATGTGAATAGATAATGTCATGATACGGCGTTATACAAAGTTCTGTTTTCCACCAAATTAAATTTACAGAGCAATTTTAAACTTTTTATCAAACTTAAAACTACAAAATTTTTACTCAAAAAATTTACTCTTTCCTTGAATTGATCACAATTTAGTAACTTACCAATTAATCATCCATCGTAAACTTCATGCATTAAAATTTCTGAAAACTGGAAATATTTGGTGCTAAAATTCTAGAATAATAATTTTTTGTTTGCTTAAATGAAAGATTCTCTTCATGAATCAATGCATGCTAGTTTTAACTTCAATCATTAAAAAAATCTAATGATTATCAGCTACTACTGTTACCACTAATTTATAATATACACTTGAATTTTGCAAGAAATGAAAAGCTAACATGATGAAAAGGAAATATGAGAGATATGGATGGAACTTTTTTCGGTCACTAAGTAGCTTCAAAGTTCCGCTTTAGATTTTGATTTCAGAAATAAAATGTAACATTTGGGGAAAGATGTAATGCTGCTATTGAATCAAAACAATGTGCAAAAAAGATTTAATCTGATGATGGAGTCATTTCACATGGATTCTATCGAAAAATCTAACACTTTCAATGGTGCTCTCTTTCAATTGTTTTGCATTTTACGGACAACTGAAGAAGAAGCATAAAATAACCATACTTTTAATGGTTAGCTTCCACTCTTATCAGAAGTTTTTGTATTTCACAAAATGATCAATTTATCATTTGATTTTCAAAGAAATATTTGCATATTTTTGAGTTCATCCAACCATCATTTACTTAAACACTTTGCAGGGAACTTTCGAATGTATACATATTTCGGAAGCACACATATATATATTTAGAAAATATAAAAATGCTTTCATATATATATTAAGAAAGAAAAAATGTGAAGGTCAATCTTTTTTAAATATATATGTATATATTTTATTTATTTATTTATTTAAATTATAAGTATCTTGGGTAAACAAATTTTTTTTTTCAACAACTACTTAATTGTGGCATGAACCTTTTATCTTTACTGATATTATAATAACTGTTTACTATTATTAATCTGCACATTTTGTGCTGGAAAGTCTGTGTACGAAAAGGTTTTACAATAGTGTGTGCATGCTTCCAACAAATTGAAAAATAAATTTTGGGTGTAGTTTTATGTGTTTTGAGCAACTGTTATCAAAATATTTCTTAAAGCAGTTTTAGAATTTCAAAATTCAAAATTTGCGTTTTTGTTTTCGATGCAACTATAATCGGCTTTGTAAAAACCCTAAAAAATGACCTAACTTCGAAAATTTTGCGCTGCGCACCAAAAATTACAAATAAATATTTAAAAAAGTTCATACATTATGATTCAAAGACTTGAAATGGAATAAATAAGAAATGAAAAAAAGAGCGTTGGTTTAGGTGCCATGCTGGCAGGGAACTTGTAATCAAATAGAGAAGAACCAGTTTGGCAGCTTGTTCAAATCAATTTTACTTTAACCACATTTTCTTCACACCTTTAACTGGGTGAAATGCATAAAGTGTTAATTGATCATTTTGTTTTTGGTGAATTGAATATAAGATCCAAAAAATTAGCATCTGAAAAATTATAATTTAAAATGAATGCTACTAAATTATTTGCATGAATGATAATAGTACCATTTTCAGAAACGGTGAATGAATAACTGATACCCGGAGAAAGTATGCATGAATAGGCAACTTACAATAGTCTTTTTTTACTAACAGAAAATAGTTTAAAATTCAAATATTTGAAAATGAGAATAACATATTCAAATTTTCATTTTCGACTTTGTTCACGTCATGTATAACAATTTTCAATGTTTTGCAAACGTTTCAAAATTTATAGCCCATTGAAAACATTTCAGTAAATAGCATTGCAAAATTATTGTATTCTTTTTCAACAAAGTTATGAATTCTTCGTTTGCAAATAGAACTGAGATAAAACTTGTAATAGTTGATTTGTGCATGTTTACATATATTTCATGTTGGATATGAAGTAAGAATTTCACCACTTCAATAATCTATTCCTTCACTTTGTTCGTGCCAAACAAGAATTGTATGTATCAGCCATGAAAGATCGCATTTTCAGAAATTAGAAAGATTAAAATTGTGCTGAATTGGTTAAGAGTTGATATTTCAAGAATATTTTACTGATTAATATTCATAATTGATTGGAGTATTCTTTCATAAATTTGTTTTATGTACAAAGCATACTGCAGAAAGTATACAAAATGCATGAAATTATTAACGATTGTATTCAAACAATATGACTTATTTAAGCCAAAATGCTTCTTTACAATGAATGTTTAATCGAACATGTTATCAACTGCAGTAGAAAATAATCAACTTTTCAGTATGATACAGCAAAAACCTGAATATTTTTATAATATTTGTGTATTTTATGTAAATTAAAAGCCCTTAAATAAATAAAGATTAATTATCAGTAGCCAGCATAAGTCTATCACTGCGTTCTTGCATTTCCAGTTCATGAATAGTTATGATGAACAAAATTTATCCTATTGGTTTATTGTTTGCTTTTCTTGAATAAATCTTTTTTTCTGTATCACATCAAAATATGTAATCACAGCTTATGAATTCATGAAGAAAAAATTTTCAGACTATCTAAAAATTTGAAGCTAAGAAGTTATGAAAGGTTAATTGAAAGTTAATAAAATTTTGCATATATATTTTACCAAGGAAAATTAGATAGTATATGAGATATCAGTAGATTAATTTACTGATGCAAGTTACATCAAGATAATCTTTATTAATAGAAATGAAGAATACAGAAAGATCAGGACAATGACCGTGTTGATACTTCAGATATAGGATGCTGCGTAATCTATTATCATCGTTACGATGATACATAAAGAGTGGAACATATGCAAACATCCATAAACAATTACAAACATACAAGTGACTTCAAGACCAATCGGAAAGTTATCATTGAAAATCTTGAAATCAGGTTAATTATAGATCGTATTTATGATTACTTATTTCTTTGCTGCAAAACTGATTTTATTTTCAGTAGTGACCTGGAACCGAGGTGGAAATACTAGCTTATAAGTTCTGACATTTTGCTAATGCAAGTTAAAGACTGAAGTTTGATTTTCTGACTTATTACATTTTCATCTCGAATTGTTGCTATATAAAGGCATATTTTAAAAATTTTCAAGATACAATTTTTTTTTCTTGTTTTCACGTGTTGCAACTTTTAAAGCTATCATTAGCTTTTTGTAAATGTAGTAAGTGACGTGATATTTTGCGAGCTATGTTTAATATGGAGATAAAGGAGAAGCAGTTATTGCATACGCATAGCAAAACTGCCAGTAATACTTTGACTTCTAACAAACTTAATCTTTAATTTGTAAGCAAAACAAAAAAAGCAATGATTTTGGTATTAATTATTTTCAAAAATATCTATCAATTTATCTAGACAGAATTTATCTCTCTTTCTAGCGTTTAAATTGTATACTCACACAATGCTCAAAACTTACCTGAAGTAGTAATCTCTTAGCACTAGAACGAACTTTTAACACTTCAACTTCTCGTAGCTGTAGTAGCAACTGCAAATCTCGACTGCATCCTACAACATCTGATTGATGTAATAGACAGTTGTGCGAGTCTTTCCATCCATTAGCTTTGCTTAGCTAACTTTGTTGGTTTGTTATGCTGCCATACTATTTTTTTTTCAAATTATTTCCAGTCTTTTCTTCATGCTACCTCATCCTTTGCAGTTTAATCTCGCAAAAACAAACATAGACAGATACTTGTCCAAATACGTTATCTTAATAAGGTAATACTTAATAAGGTTATCTTGCTTATAGATTGTAATACTTGTAATATTTTGCTATTCCACAGCTATTCCTTTGTTTAGCACTAATTTGCGAGTATTATAATTTATTCGTAGTTCATCTTTTTACTCTTTGTTTTCTGCTTTTTCTCAAGAAAGTTGATATTGTTACAGTGTCTTGCAACATTTCTACTCAAATACAATCGTTTTTATTTTTTACTTTTTCGTCGACACTTAATGTTTCTAATTTTTTTCTACACTAATAATACACTTCTCAGTAATTCATTTTCTCATTGATAATATAAAAATATGGAAAAAAAAGTATTACAATCTATAAACAAGTAAAAAACGTTGCACTCGCTGCTAGCAGTGCATCATTTGTGGTATCTAAAAATCATTTATTATCACATCTCACTACTGATGCCGAAGAATGAAGAAAGAAGATCACAGCACTGTGCTTATTCTAGCACAAATAAATAAACCTTGTGTGCACAACTAAAAAAGTCTAACTCACATTGTGAAAAGCCCTTCGTTAGACTGAACGATCTAGACTTACTTAGCTCATTTCTTCTCCTACTGTAAATGCTATCTTCCATTTTTTACTTCAGTAACACTTTGTCTGCAATTCTGCCCATTTAAAGTTCTCGCTCTCATCCTCTTCACCTTATACTTTCTCTACATTCACTGCTTGACCTCTAACCCCACTGCCTAACCATAACTGACTTTTTTTCCTCTTCCATAACATTTAGTCAATAGAGCTAGAGATTATGCTTAACTTTTTCATTTGCACAGTGAAAGAACTGAGATATTTGTCAATAACGACAAAAACAAGCCATTGATTCTCTGACAGAGTGGAAAAGAAAATTACGAAAATATAATTTGCATATTTACTTCCTTAAAGCTATAATTATAATGGTTTTAAAACTTACTCTTTACACGTAGTATTTTTTTTATTCCTTACACTTTTTCCATAATTATTTTTCAGTTTAAGACCTCTTTGCAACTTCATTAAAAAACTGAGAGATAATAATACTAATGGTGTTACTAACATGAAGTGACCGCGGATAATAACAGTGGTAATTATAACTGAATTAGTGATGTTTGGTCAGTTGCGTATCAAACATTTGCATCATGAAAGATACTTGTAACAATAACATGGAAGACAATATCTGTCATATAAACGCTTATATCTTCACTGCTTAGATGACATCAGTACTAACTTCAGTAATGACGTTTAAGCAATAAAAATAGTACCAAATTCTTTATCGGCATGAATGCACTGCTGCGTTTCCTGGTGGTATGAATTCAACAAAATTAACGTTAGGTAAGGTTACGTATCTCACGAAATACAAGTCACCTTTTCTCGTGAAGAAGTAATGATCAGATGCATAAAAACTGAACAAAAATTTATGATTTCTTAATTAAGGTACAGCAGCAAACAGCAATTTTAATACTATGATAACTATGTTACGGTGGATGGTCATATTTTGTGCCTTATTGAGGCAGTTGGCGGTGGCAGGTCAGGTCATACCGAAGCTAACTGTGGTGACTGTGGCAACGGAGGAAACAGATGGTCTGAAAAGATTAGCTCGTACAGTTGAAGCTAAAGACATGAAGTTAGAAGTATTTGGATTAGGTGAAGAATGGCGTGGGGGTGATGTTACCAAGGAAATGGTTAATAATCTTAATTGTTAATCTTTCTTTCTCACCTAATTTAGCTTGTAAAGCACATTCAATTTCAGAAAAGAATGTTGAATTGTTTTATCAACAAAAAAATTGACATTGTTACATTTTGCTATGCTCAAGCATACAGCTTATTTTTAAGAAATAATTGAGAAAATACTATCTACGATGTCATTCACTTGTTTAGGAAATGTTGCTTTCAAATTGTTAATTCTTAGTTTAATTCAGTATCTAAGATGATGAATGTTTAGAGTGCAGCTGATTTGAACCGTTTGCGTAAACTTCTTTCAGGGAGGGGGACAGAAAGTACGTATTTTACGGAAATCATTAGACAAATACAAAGATCAAGATGATATCGTCATACTTTTTGTTGATGGGTAAGTTATTTGAGCAGAATGCATTAGTATTTCTTATGATATTTATCGTATTATTTTTATTTATTTTTATTTCAATATCATTTTTATTTCGTTGCTGAAAAATTTTGATGACTGCAAGTGCTTAGTTTTTTCCCGTTATAATTTTTTTTTCCAATTTCTGAAAACGTTTGAGAAAAATTTTCTTTCTCAAAAATCTGTTTCATTTTAGCATACTGATAAAGTGCCTAAAAACTTTTTTTGCAGATATGACACTATATTGCTCGGCAATGAAGAAGAAATTTTGGGGAAATTTTTGACCTTTTTTGAAGAATTTCGTGTAGTATTTTCTGCAGAAACATTTTGCTGGCCTCAGAAAAGTTTAGCTCCCTCGTATCCAATAGTAAACTTCGGTTACCGGTATTTTTTGAGTAATATTATATTTTTATATCCTTGATAATAAATTTGACTTATGATCAAATATTCTTAGATACCTGAATTCTGGCGTGTTCATGGGTTATGCTCCTGAAATTTGGAAGCTGCTAAATTATGAAAATGTAGAGGATGATGATGACGATCAATTATATTACACACGCTTATATCTAGATAAGCAAATACGTGTTTGTTTTATTGTGTATTTCTTGTATTTTTTGCTCTTGCAATTTAAGTAGTTCAAATTTTTTACGAAGGTATTAAACAAAGCAACTTAAGAATTCGTTGCAAATGACTCTGGATTCAACCGGTGTACTTTTTCAAAATCTGCATGGAGTATCAGAAGATGTCACTCTAGAATTAGATAATGATAGTGGAGTTTATTCCGTAAGTTTTATATCTTTCTTTTATTTGTCGACAAAAAAGTCGTCTCTTCAAGGACAGCCGACAACTGTTAATTTTGTTTGAATTCATTTGTATGAGATGTTATCAAAAAACGTATCTAAATTTATTTTCAGATTCATAACATAATTTACAACACACATCCTATTGTAATACATGGTAATGGTCTTAGCAAATTACATCTAAATCGACTCGCTAATTACATTGACCCACTAAACATGAAAACGTTAGAAATAACATCCACTAAAATGGTAATGTTCTGTGAATATCTTCGAACTCTTATTGGTTTACAAGTTGAAACGATAATAAATACATCTATATGTACAAAAGAATGCAAACATTATTAGTTGAAGAAGTTTATTGAGAAATTTCGACATTAGCTTTTTATCGACCTTATTTTATTTTGCTGTTCATATTATAAAATATTCAGTCATCATGGTCAGTTCAGGATATCGAGGAGAATAATTTACCAAAGTTATATATATCTATTATTATTGCTAAACCTATTCCATTCATTCGTGAATTTTTCAAAAATATTGAAAACTTGGTTTACTTGGATAATAAAATTGATTTATACATTTATTGCAATCAAAACTTTATGGAAAAAGAAGTAAGCATTCCCAATTTTTGTTTCCTTATAAAGATAAGTTTTTGATATTGCAAGTGAACAATTGTTAATGTACTCAGTCGTTTTATTAAAATTTATACAGCAATTTTTGAAGAATTTGTGAATTCACTTGCCTCCGTGTAGGTTTAAGACTTCATAACTTGCATGACATGGAATTTGTTGCAGTAAAAAATATTATAAAGTTAATGAAAGTATTAAGTAAGCATCAATTGTTATTCTGTTTCAGGTTGCTCATTTTATTGAAAGAGCAAAAATACGTTATAATTCAGTTCGTTATGATGGTTTATCAGTGATTGGAGAACGTGAAGCTAGAGTATTTTCATTGTTTGTCTTTTGCTTAAATTTTTATTGCATATGAAACTTTTGAATTTTAGAAAAATTCGAGCAGTGAAAACTTAACTTTTTTTTAGCATTTATTTGATAAGTGTAAGTGAATTATTTATGAACTTCACATACCACCTTCGTTTTAAAGTGCTAGTTTTTTTTTTTAAATATTTTTTTGAATCTGTTAGATATATTAATGAAAAATGATGTGGAAGATTAATTTAAAAAGTTTTATAGAGAACAAAGCATTATAAAAAACAGTGAATATTTGGTAATGATTGATGGCGATGTGCATTTGAACAATTCAGAGTCTCTGTTGTTATTAGTTGATACTATGAAGCAAAAGAATATGTATGATTCTAAAACATTGAATATTATTAAAATTTTATATTGCTGTTTAATTCATATTCAAAATATTTAGTGCCAATAGTTCCGTGCTTCGAAAAAATGTTAGAACTAAAGTGACAACGGCTTATTTTTCGTTTATTGAACTAATTCTTGTATTTATTGCTTTCAAAAATTGCAGAGGAGTTCTAGCACCTTTGGTTCGACAGCCCAATTCTTTTTTCACAAATTTTTGGGGTGCAATTAGTGGAAACGGTTACTATGCTAGATCTGAAGATTATTTAGATATCGTTGATGGCAAAATTAAAGGAATTTGGAATGTACCCTATATTAGTTCCGTAGTGATAATTTCGAAGGAGAAGGTATACATAATTTCTTATTGATCATTGTTTTCAAACTTTCAGCAGCCTTCTTCAAGTAACAAGGTCAGAAGCTCATATTTCTATACTGGTTCTTCATTATAGAATGCTCGTGCAATTTGTACGGGACTTACTGATAATTCACTCATTCGCAAATTATTTTTTGATATCAGGTTTTCTAATTAATGAAAGAAATTGAAAATTATGATTATGCTGGACTCAAACAACTTTTCAGCTCACTCCACTACAAAATGCGTACTATTATGACAGTAATTTGGATCCTGATATGAGCTTCTGCTTATTTGCTCGTCGTAATGTAAGTATTTATCTAATTCGTTATTTTATCTTATAGGGATATATTTCAATACTGGGTTATTTGAAATTTTTTGCTTTTGAGCTTTAAAAATGCTTGTATCATAATTTCTTAAGTTTGTAGGGGCATTTCTTGTATGTGACTAATGTACATCAACATGGTTTTCTGGTTGTAAGTGACAACATGCAATTGTCTAAATTGCATCCAGAAATGTATGAAATATTTAACAATCGCGAGGTTGATATTCCTTTCACATTTATCTATTCTATTTTTTGATTTCGTCAGTTTCTTTTAGTGATTTTATTTTAAATATTTATTTGAAATTACTTTCGTATATGTACAATCAACGCACTAAGTTTTTATATTGCCTTTAAGTCATCCATATAATACGCGGTAAGTATTAAAATACAAAAGTCTTTTAGTTGTGGGAAAAACGTTATATACACCCAGATTATTTTGCTGCTCTTAATGATTCTCATGAAATTCCGGAAAGATGTCAGGATGTTTACGACTTTCCATTCATGTCTGAAACGTTTTGTGCAGAGCTTATAGAAGAATGTGAGAATTTCGGAAAGTGGTCAAGTGGTAAGCACGAGGTGTGCAGGCTTCTCACATGCTAATTTCGAAAATTTAAGATCTTCATTATATTAAATTTCGGAATAAAGTGTTGTTTTTTATTGAAATATTAGAATTTTTTGTAGGATGAAAGATTAATTAGTGGTTATGAAAATGTACCAACTCGGGATATTCATATGAAACAAATTGACCTTGAGAGGCATTGGCTTTATATTTTGGATGAATATGTTCGACCCATACAAGAAAAATTATTCATTGGTTATTATCATAAGGTTTAATTACTTTATTCGTAACTAGCAAATAATCGTCAGTATTTAAGTAAGCATTAAAGTAGTAATTTTTTTAGCTTGAAATGTGTAGGCTTACGTAAATAGCGCTGTTGTTAAATCAAGTGCCTAAAAAGGTTGTCAAGCGTCTTTATGAAGATGTTTGAAAGTTGAAAAGATTTATTATCTTAGACGATGAATGGTCAGTTAATATTTTGATACTCTTTAATGAATGCTACCTACACATTGCAAGTGACTTTAGTTTGTTGATTAATATTGTCAAAGAAATTAGTCATTCTTTATCAAGACAATGCGCTGTCCACTGCATATAATTTGATTTTCGGAAATATCAGTTTAGGAAATAATTTACTTTTCGAAACAACTTTTTATTATATAAATATCAGCAAATGAGTATATTTATTTGCAAAATGGTACTGTTAAAATTTCTTTTGTTTCGTTTATAAATACTTTGAAGTATTTAATTGTTTACTCGTTCTTCAGCATATCGAAATTAGATAAAAATTTACATTTTTATAGTTCAGATTTTAAGTAATTTATTACAGATCAGCGAAATAAATCTCATAAAAACTTTTTTATTCATATCTTTCCTTTCACTGTTGTATTTATTTTTCTCGTAGCATTCATATTTATATTGAAATATTTATATTTGTGCATCAAAAAGAAATAATTTTCTTGCAAACTTTTTCCAGCCGGTGGAGTCCTTTATGATGTTTGTGGTACGCTATAAGCCAGAGGAGCAAGCTTATTTAAAACCTCATCATGATTCTTCAACTTACACTATTGATGTTGCTTTGAATAAGCAAGGCGTGGATTTTGAGGGTGGTGGTGTACGTTTTATCCGCTATAACTGTACTCTAGAATCTGAAGTTGGTAAGTTTACATTTACAGCACAAACCGCTCTAAAATTTGCAGTGAGTTAGTCGACTGTTTTTTGCTCTATTATTCTCGACATTTATCTTTTCATTTTATATATTGATACGAACCATAATGTTGTATACAGTTTGGTAATATTCACTGAAATTACAGTTTACAACTGGTGAATTTCTAGACGTTAAATAAGCCTACTTAACAAATGAATGGTTAAAAAGCTGTTGTAAGAAATAATTTTCAGGTCATTCGATGATATTTCCTGGCCGTCTTACTCATTTTCATGAAGGGTTAACAACAACGCAAGGGACGCGTTACATTGCTGTATCGTTTATCAATCCTTAGTTCTATTTATTTTACAATTTATCCATGTTTATTGGCCAGTTTTGCATTTTTTGGAACGAAAAGAATGTGGCTGTTATGTGGTATTTTGCAATTTAAATATTTTTTGATTATGTTGAAGAACTTTGTGATACTGCCAAATTAACAAATATTTTTGAAATCACTTTAACTTTCTTTAAATTATCAGAGTTTTCAAAAGCAGCAAATATCTGTGGTAAATAGTTGCCTGTACTGTTTAGAAATGCTTTTTTTAGTGTGAAACAATTACAAAATTTAGAAATTATTTTGATCATTTTCGTTGCGTATACTGCTAATTATTTCATTGGTCACTCATCAGAATCTTGAATGTCCAGGTTATGAGTCAAGGTAGAAAAATTGTCTTTTAGTTCTTTTTTTAATTATTGCAATCATTATCTTTCTGTAAATTTTATTTCATTACATTGCATTTAATTTGACTGCCGAAATTATCATAAATGAATTTAATGTTGTATAGTCGATGTTAAAGTTGATATTTGTAATGGTCAGTTTGTATAATATTTTATTTTTCGAAATTTGATTGCTCTGCAAAAATTACTGTATTAAAATTTGAAATACTCGATAATTTACTATTGTTATGATCCAAATGGAAGTTACTGGAAATCCTCATAGATGGATTATAAAATGAAATTCTCATAGAGTTCGTTACTAATACTGAAGGTAGACTCGTTCCTTCGGTAAAGGAAATTTTGCCGTGTTTGTGCTTTACATGTTTATCCTTCCTATAGTGTTTCGAAGCTAACGTAGCAAGAAATTGAAGGGACTGGTTAAGTCGGTAAAAAAAATTGAGGGAAAATTTCTTGTAGTCGTTTATTGTATCTGTAGAGATTATGGACGTTGTGCAGAAGTTGTAAAAACTGTGGCTTGGCTTGTCAGTAAAACTTTACTGAATGAAAATTGAAGGACAGATTGGTATTTAAGGGTAGAAATACTTTGTCTATTATTCAGTTTGAAATTGAGTGTGCATTCCCGTGTTCCATTTTTACATTCAGGAAGTAGATTATGATAGAACTGTGGATCTTATCACTTTTAAAATCATATGATGTTTGTAAAGGATCACTGCAGTTGATCTTTTACATACGCAGTTCGATGGAGGAGACCTGCAATGGTTTTGATCACTAAAGGGAAAGTGGTTTGTGTTTTGATCATATGCCGGAAGTAGGACTCGTTTAATGTAGTTTTTTTTACGATACGTGAAAATGATCTAGACTTGAAGTGTCAGCCATTTGATCATAAAATCATTTACAATCAAGCTGTTGTAAATGATGAAATGCACCAGCGGATTAGCATTAAATCACTCTCTCAAAGGAAGTTTTTGTGCTGTAATCCATATACACATTCGACAGACTTTTCCAAACACAGATTCCTTTATCTCAATTAAAAGATAACATGGTACTTAAAAGAATTCCGATATTTTATTGGTGCCAATTGTTATAGCACTCACTTGATCGCATTTTCCAGGATTATAACGAGTTGCATTCATATTTTATTACGAACTGCCTTCTACTATTTATAGAAAGTAAATAAATGTCTTCAAACAAAGTCATTAATATTAGAGCGCACTATCTTTCATTTTACCTTTTATACTCATTTACAAATATTTAAAGCATTACTGATGACGGTTTCGTGGTACAGTCTGTACAAAATATCATTTTGATAACATTAGTGCGTTTTCTGCAGCTGTTAATTTGTGACACCTACGTAGATGTAGCAAGTAGTAGAGCAGTAAAGCGCGTTCACTAGTAAAGTAGGTCTTGATCAGAAATAGTTATTGTAGTGACAGAGATAAACATTTATGATGATTTCTAAAAATATGATTTTGGAATAGGAGAGTTATCTACTGATGTTCCGAAAAACGTTCTCTTCATTAGCAGTAAAAACAGAATCACTAGTGTATGATGTGATCGTAATTGGTGGTGGCCATGCTGGTTGCGAAGCTGCAGCTGCATCTGCGCGATGCTCCGCTCATACATTATTACTCACTTCTAAAAAAGATGCAATTGGTGAAATGTCGTGTAATCCAAGTTTCGGAGGCGTTGGTAAAGGTAAATTAACACTTTTCTGTTCTGAGCTGTAATATAAATTTTTTTACTATGAGGAATTTTGTTCAGGAATACTCCGCAATTTAGCAAATAATTAAGTGAAACACAGGTCGGTTCTTATGAAATGAAATAGTTTTCAGGACATCTTGTTCGTGAAGTGGATGCGATGGATGGATTATGTGGACGAATTTGTGACAAATCATCTATAAATTACCATGCTTTAAATACTTCACGTGGACCTGCTGTTGTAGGACTTCGAGCTCAGATTGATCGCAAATTGTATAAAAAACATATGCAACACGTAACTTCTTTTACTTCACTAATTTTCCTGTTTTTAAGTCATGAATTTTAGCACTGAGTTTTGCTTTTTTTAAGTTGCAGAATTTTTGGAGAACTAGAAAATTCTATGATTGCGATTTTTTATTTGTATTTACGGTTGTGGTTTTTTTTTTCACTTTGGAATCAAATTTCTGTATTTTTATTAAAGATGAAATTATGTAATTAAATTTGTGGTCAGTTTGAAGTATTTAGGAAATAATGAATTGCACTAAAGGCTTAGATGTAAGGGAAAATTTGGTTGATGATTTAGTGATCGAGTATGACAAAGGAGCAATTCCTCGAGTTATTGGAGTTTTAGCGGATAATCAGGTAAAGACTTCTTTCTCTATAAAATTTAGTTTCTTATAATACTAAATCATTATTTCTGTTACTCCCACATGTTTTTAGAATAGTTTCTCATATTATAGATTCTGAAAGCACGAGCAGTAGTGGTAACCACGGGTACATTTTTAGGTGGACAGGTTTATCGAGGATCGATGAGTTATGCTGGTGGACGTTTGGGCGAAAAGGTTCAATATTATTGTTTATTACATCCCTAATTATTCCGTATAATCGAATTATTAATCTCGGATTGATTTGTTCTAAAAGTAATTGCAGTCTGAAATATCTGTAGATGAATATTAGAATTATAAAGAGTGAAAGAAAGTAACATCGATATCACTGAATAAAATCGAAATTAGGATACATTTGATTTTATCCAAAAAAATAATCATAATTTTCACTACTGCTTGTTCCTTCTCCAATCAGGTGATGAAATGTTTTGGTGTTTTTTTAACTTGCTAACGCGTGAAATTCGATATTAAAACTGCTCATTATTTCAGGTTTGTTCAAATCTTTCCAAAACTTTTAAAGAACTTGGTTTCAAACTTGGTCGTTTTCGCACTGGTACTCCAGCTCGCTTAATCAAAAAGACAATTGATTTTAGCAAATTTCTCCCTCAACAACCTGATCGAGAACCAATACCATTTTCATTCTTGACGAAAGATATCTGGATACCTTACTCAAAACAGGTGAGCTAATTAAAAATGTGTTTCATTGAGTCTAAACATGTTCGATTAACTTTTTCATAGTTCGTTTTTATTTCTTCATTTACCGAACTGTATTTTTCTCACTTTTTCCATTGGTTTCATGTTTTTAATCTTAAATAGTTATAAAGCTGCCGTCCTATTTGGGGTTCACGAATAACAATCTCTCTGAAAAAGTGTTGAGGAACTTTGAAGAAGGCAATTATATTCGAAGCGTAGCAAATGGTCCACGTTATTGTCCATCTCTTGAATCAAAAGTTATCCGTTTTCCGCACCTGAATCACAGAGTTGGTTCTTGAAAGCTTAAATTTATTTCAAAAATTTTGCTCTTGTGTTTTTACTTTTATTGAAATTGTTGCAATAATCACTGTTATGAAGTGAACTGAATATGTACTCATATCGAAACAAAATTTTGTTTTTGTTACTGCTCCCATTGATTTTCAGATTTTTTTGGAACACGAAGGTTTAGATTCAGAATTAATCTATCCACAAGGTATGTCAATGACATTTGAACCGGAAGTGCAGCTAGAGGTGTATCGATGTATACCAGGGCTAGAAAACGTCCATATGGCAGAACCGGGTTATGGAGTTGAATATGACTATGTAGACCCAAAACAACTGAAACCCACTCTGGAGACAAAAGTTGTTGATGGCTTATTCCTTGCGGGACAAATCAATGGTACTACGGGATATGAAGAAGCTGCAGCTCAAGGTTTTTGCCTTCTAAGTATCTTATATTCTTTTTTAGTTTTTATGGTTTCATGAATCGCTTTTAAAAGCAATATAACGTTTCATGGTGATCACTATGTTAATTTCAGGTCTTGTAGCTGGAGTGAATGCTGCTGCGTTATGTAAAAATAAGAAGTACTTCGTTATTGATAGAACGGAAGGTTATATCGGTGTTTTAATTGATGACCTAACTAGTCTTGGCACCTCTGAACCATATCGGATGTTTTCTTCTCGAGCTGAATTCAGATTGCATCTACGGTAAAGTTCAGAATGTTGCTTCTTTTTTTGGTTATTTTATTTTACTATAATTTCAGGCCTGATAACGCAGACATGCGATTGACAATTAAAGGATATCAGCAAGGATTTGTATCGGAATATCGGTATAATCACTTCATGAATGTTTTGTTTTCATATAATCAAGCCTTGGATTTGCTCAATTCCGTGAGATATCCAGTGAACTTCTGGCGAAAACATTTTCCTCAATTAGGAAACATACAGACAAATAAAGGTCTATTTTCGGTTAATAACACATCAAGCACAAAGTTCATTAGGATTGAAAAGCAGGAGACTTATCATCTTATTTAATTCTTCTTAACTAAGATTTTTATGATTTTAGTTCTTTCTATAACTTTGTTGCTAATTTTTGAATTTTCATTTGTAGTATATAGCGCATTCGATTTGTTATGCCGTTACAAAATAAAATTTGCCGAGCTTCGTCAAGCACTGCCTAGTGAATTAAGCAAATTAACTGAAAACGAAGAAATCGCGCGTAGGCTGGAAATCGAAGCTTTTTATCGATTTTACCTGGCAAAATCCATGGTCAAGGTGATTATCATAAACAGTATTTCTTTCTTTAAAAAAAGTCTATTAGCATTCAGATGTTTTGATTGGAATGATTTGAGCATGGAGCATGAAATGAAACAGTTGCATTTTCAAAGCAAATTTAAATTGAAATGCTAAAAAGCGTTGAAAAGACGGGTTCAGTATTGTAAAAATTCAGCCATTTGTAGTAGTTATTGTGGCTAAGATTTCTGAGTAATAATGAAGTTGTCAAAAATAACTTGTTATCTCTCCTTTGTTGTCTGTCTACTATCATTTTATGTTTTTTTTTCAGCAGAATCACATTTTTCACTGAAATTTCGCAGTATTTTATGTTTGATAAAGATACCAATGATATATCAAACTATACTCTTGCAGATTGAACAATTGCGCGAAGAATGTGCTACTGTAATCCCAGATGATTTTGATTACTCCAAATTGAAATCCACTTCTTTGGAGTGTAGGGAAAAATTTGAATTATGGAGACCTCAAAACCTTGCTGCGGCATCGAGGTTTGAAATATTTGTTTTCTTAATTTTTCAGTGTTCCCATAATTTGTTTTAACAATTAGTGTTCTTACCATTCCTGTCGTTATTTTGCTCACTTCTACAATTTAAAGACCATGAAAGTAATTTAATTCCTGTGTAAAGAATATTGTGATGAATTTATACATAGTTGGTTGCAGAGTTCCAGGTGCATCGACAGAAAGTTTGATAGAACTGCTGAGTTTCCTTAAAGTTCCGTAAGTTTTTGGTTTAGATAATTCCATGATTACTGTTTGTAGTGCACTTATAAACTTTTTATTATTCCAGGAAACGAAATAAGGAAAAATTTTCTCAACAATCGGGTCTTAAGTGAAAGCTGAAATCTTGTTGTTGAAGTTTTACTGTTTTTACATTTTTTGATCGATAATTCAATGTGTGTGGTGTAATTTTAGCTCGTTATTTTGAAAAATCTGCCAAAAAAAGCTTAAAATTCTTTTATTAAAATTTATCGAACAACATGGAACTGGAAATATCAAAAATTCAGGGTAATCCTTTTCAGTACATTTTCATTCTAGAAAATAGATGACTGTCGTGAAAGGGAAAACAAAGAAGCAAATAGTAATGTTACGAGTAGTAGTGTCATCTGTTGGAAATTCAACATGTCTTTCATTTCAATATTTAGTTATGATTTCTGAAGAGGTTGCAGTCCATCTTTTGATTTATTAATTTGTTCTATTGCAAGTGGATTATATCTACTTAATTTTGAGCAACAACAGCAGTCACTACATCTACGTTATATCATAGTCAAAATGCTTTGCATGTCAACAAGGTAATTTTTCTTGAAGCTTCTGTATTTATTTCCGTAAATGTATGCAGACAATGGCTTCCCAAAAAACGTGGTCAACAATGGCTTCCCAAAAAACAGAAACTTCATCTTTCAAATTTTAATAGATATATGAAGTAGTTAATCTTTGACCACGTTGTACTTTGGAACTGCTCAAAAATTCACGATCTAGCACTAATGTATTAGTTTAGAAAGTAATTAAAAAAGCGATATGTAGCACATTCTTTTCTATCACTTTATGATATAAACAATAGAATTTGTGATTCCTTACTGTGTGAAAACATCACATCTGAATTCGTACAGAATGTTTTTAACAAAAAAATGCGATTTTAATGAAACGTTGTAAAATGAATGACTGAGTGGGCATGTTCAAATGAAATCATCCAAACAATATATACCGCCGGGGAAAAAATATATCTGTTTCAAAAGAAATGAAGTATTTGTGGAACTAGATTTTTGAAGATAAACTTTCGGTTCTTGTCAATTTTGCAGTCAGCAAATGAGGGTGCTATTAACAACGATTCTGTTGTGATAACCAGATGTGGGGGAAAGAAATAATTTTTGGGATAGTATTTCTATTAATTGCTTGCATTTGAGGTGATCGGAAATATGTCGTCCTGCAGATTTGGATAGCAGCTCAAACAATACTTATTGTAAGATTAATTTGTTTGAAAATAGTAAAAATAAGCATTTGCAACGTTTGAGAAAAAATTTAGAAGAGAGTTTGGAGAAAAAAAATGAAGGGATGGATTATGAGTTGAAGAAGTCACATGGTTTTTGAAAGAAAGCTTGGTGAAAATTACGAATTATCTTGGTTTGATGAAAGTTACAAAGCTGAATTACTTCGTATTTAGCTTTTACTGATGTTAAAACTAGGTTCCATGATAAAACTAGATAAAGTCGTAATCTTTGAAATCGGGATCATAACTATTTTGTGTCGACAACCTTGTAACTCGCAGCTCTAGATCTAAGTCAGTTCTGTGTCCATCTGATTTTACATAGACAGTTTCATTTTGAGATAGCTGAATCCTTGGAGTGAAATCTGCCTCGTAGCCTGTCTCATCTTGAATTTGATATTTCTCATGGAATTTCCAGTTTTCTGTTTTTCTGCTTATAATGCTGTCATCATCATTTTTTGGCAGGATATAACCAGTATCAATAGACATGTCACTAACATAAGCTAACTTTTTCTGTCGACGGTAGTCATTTTTTTTATCAGAATTTCGTGAATTTCTAGTATTCATTGATTCCTCGTGCGACTTCAATGTGTCGCAATCAACATCATTTCTTTTCTCTTCACTGGGTGTTACCAAAGTGACACGTTTACGATCGCGTGAACAATTATCTTTTTTGAATCGTTGTGAATCCTTACTTAAATTCGAAGACGTTTGTGACATCTGCACATTCACTTCCTCCTCAAAGTTACTTTTGTTAGCAGCCTTTGTTTGATAGTCTTCGTATGCACTGCTTTCCGTATCAGCTTTTTGCAGATACGAAATGTTTGAATTAAGACAAATTCCTTCATTGACTTTATTTTCCGTTTCATTTACTGAAGCATCTGAAATTTGTAACTTTGCTACGTTAGCTTCTTCTGAATTCGGTTTTTTTGCTGAACTATCATCATATTTTAATTGTAATTTATTCTGTTCAGATACTTTACTTTCTTCAAATTGTTGCAGCGAAGCTTCCTCACCTTGAAGAGAATTATTTACAGGCACAGAATTCGATAGTTCCTGTGACTGTATCTGTACATTGTTTTCATTGCAGTGATTATTTTCTAAAGACTTAGTCAATGATAGAGTTGATGGCTGATCTGATGGAGCAGAGTTATCTGCTAATTGTTCTAAAGCTGATGTATTAGAAATTGTCGGCAGCAGAGTGCTTGATTGATAACTTGCAGGTGTATTCATATCAGATTTGTTTGATCTCGCGTTTTCTAGTGTGCCTCCATCAAATGCAGAAATAAGCGGTGTTGTTTGAGATTCTTTCCTTTCATCATATCTGCGGTCATCGCGTTTATTTTGTCGCGTTGAAATATTCACAACGATAATTGAACTGTTGCTTGCTTTAATCGATGCTTCTTCATTTCCTATGGTAATGAGAGCTTCGGGACTTGGTTGATTAAAGCTAGTTGACTGCACTTCTCCATAAGCACCAATTTTTTCCGCATTTAGTGAGTTCGAGAATTCTCGAGAGCTATCGGGAATATGAACTACAGGTGCTCCTCTCGCTGATAAATCATCTTTTCTTCTTACGCTAACTGTCTGTTGCATTTTAGGTTCGGAACTAGATTCACTTGTTGTACTTTTAGTGGTTGTAGTAGATTCTATTTGTGAAATATTCGAATTATGATAATTGCTATGCATATCCTTACAATCTACAACTTCACCTGAAAGCTTTTGGTTTCCAGTTTGTACGTTGGCCCTCTGAGGAACATTGAATGTGGAGTTTAATGTAAGAGTAGTACTTGAATTTTTATCAAATTCGTTTGTAATCGTTGTTTTAGCCTGCTTGTCTCGAAACCTATCCCATTTAATGCTTTCTTTTTCGTCTGATTCTCCAGTATTTAAGTTATTTTCAGCTTTCGAATTCTAAATGTTAAAATGACATAATACTTTATTATTCAGTGCAAAAAAGGCGGATGAATAATATCCAATTTCAAACCGCTATAACAAGGACAATGATGACTGGTTGATTAAAACGAAATAATAGCAGAATATTTTATTCTTGGAGCAAAATCTCGAAACCCATCCCATTTAATGCTTTCTTTTTAAATAAATTAAATAAGTTAATGGTGCCTTGAATAATACTCATTAAGATTCAGAAAATTGAGTAATGTCTGACATGGTATTTGAATTTAATTCATATTTTAATATTTAAAATGAATATTCTGTAAAAATTTCTAATAGTCAGGTTCACCTGTGCAGTGCTGTATTGACCAGCTGAAGTAGTACTGCTTCGTCTAACGTCCATTAAAGAATGACCTGCACAAATGCCACCATCAAACGGAAAGGGCAAACCAGTTCGAGAAGTATAGCCCCGTTGTTTCAAGTAAATATCCACAGATTCTGCGGAATCAAGTGTACCTTGCTCTACTGAATCGATTTTTGGGCTGATATTCCATTTCTGTACAAGCAAACCCATGCTACTGTTATTCCGGATATTTTTCGAACATAGAAGTATTGAAAATGTAACATAGAATTCGATTGTACTTTTATAGAGAATGAGTAAATGAATGAATCATACTTCACGTTCTTCTGGTGTCAAGCCATACGGTTTATAAAGAAATGGTCCCTGTGACACTGCTACATATGATCCACCATTTTCAATTTCATCAAACTGTAATTCAGAACTAAATAAGTCTTTGTCTTGGTTTTGATTGTCATGAAATTTCTCCGCAAACAAAAGTTGAAATAGTCCAGCAAATACCTCAGTTATTTTATGGGTACCATATAATAATAACAACAACAATTATTATTATTACTATTATAAATAAGAATAATAATTTCTTTCAATACAAAAAATATTTGATTTAAAATTATACATCTTAGAGTACATATAGTGGGCATTATAAGAAAAATTGTTAAAATCCGTAATGAATAATTTTTTCACTCAAAACTGGGGAACGAACGTCTTTCAAGGTTTACAACCAGATTATGCTATTTACTGTGCAGTGTTCAAATTAAATTTGAACTTGTTACTGTAAATGAAATACAAACGTGTTGTATGTGTAATCCATCAATACGGTAGAGTTCATGCACAGGTGCCATCAAATTCAGTTTCTTGGTGAGAAAATCTAAGAAAGTGAGCCAATGTTTGAATCTCTTGCGAGAAACAACCACAATTGTTCCTGTATCATACTGATCTCCATTCTTGTACACTGTTATTCGCATTCCCCTGTAGTTCATATTTACTGATTCTCCCAGATGTGTGATGTAAGTGTTGAAGTTCAAATTAGTAGCGGCCATTTGCTGGAATGAATATAATTTTTCATACATGAATTGATAAACAAAGATGCACAATCAGTGTGCTTAAACAAAATTTCTGTAATAAACAAAGCATATTTTGTATAATCTTGGTCTGTTTTTGAAGTACTTCTCTTCAGAATATGAGTTTACAAAATAATTCAGGGCACCACTTTTAATTTTGTAATCTATAAGTGCATAGAAATGTGGAATACTTGCTTCTTCTCTCAAAATTATCAAAGCAAAAAATAATAGGATTTGAAACTTGAACATAAAAGGAATAATTAATGAAGAATTGGTTAATCAATCAATCTACGTAATTATAACTTTTAATTTTCACGGGTAAATACTTTGTCAACTTCAAATAAAATACTGAAATGCTAACGTGGATTAGCAGGTTTCTGAGAAACATCACCTGCAGATGGCAGTTGCACTGAGAAGCAACGGAGAAATCATAGTAGAAGAAAAATAGAGCGAGAAATACTCCAAGGTGATAGTCTTTCTACACTACTATTCGTTTTGTGCATGGACTCATTGATTCTACAGTACTATTCGTTTTGTGCATGGACCCATTGAGCCGGAGACTGAATATAAGTACTCAAAGGTGGCAATTTCCACCAACTATGAGGAAACATAAAATCTATGGTCGAAGAAGTTCAGAAGTCCTTTCAAATAGTAAGGTTAGTGGTGAATGCAGCAAAGTCAGCCACTAATACTAGAGTATATGTCAATAAGGCGGTGGTCATGGAAGAAACTCAAAGGTTGGAATAATAAAAGACAGGACTAGTGCACCTAGACCTATGACAAAGTTCGAGCAGAGATTTCAGTGAAGATTGCACTAAATGGTAAGAAATTTACCAGGATAGTGAATGAGCATTTCATAAATTAACTATTATGTTGAGTTACTCAAACTTTAAAGCTTTAGGCCATGATATTAGACTCGATACGGAATTCATAATCAACCTTCATGTTTAATTAGACTTCACCTGCCAATAAACGAGTTAGGACATGGACTTCATATTGTTGAGCAAAAAAGTAAGTTTACGCATTTCCAGCTATATAATGTTCTACCACGCTCATATCTACCTGAAGGGCGGTGATTTTGAAGTAGGAAAAGGGTGACAACACGTACTTCGCAATTATTGTATATAACCCTATCTTCAGATCAATCCATCCGCCTTAGCAGCAGCTCGGAAAGTGCTCTTGTAGAGCGAAACAGAAAAGAAAAATCATCACACAAAGCAGTACAAGATGCAAAGTGATTTTAGGCGGACATTATTATTTTATGTTGATTGGACTGGATTTAAAAAATGAATTTTGAATTTCAGCAAAAATCGCAAGTCTAGCAGAATATTGATTATACTACTGATTGCTCTCACATGGCCTTCTCATGCAATTACTGCCTGTAATCTGTTAAATCTTTTTGTTGCCCTCGTCTAGTCCAACTATTCAGCAATATTCAAATGACCTACATGTCAAAAATTTGCTCTACAAAAAGTATTTATGCTTAGAAATTTTTTAGTTAATACTAAAAGAACTTATAAGTTGTGTTAAATATAATTCTCAAAAAAATTGTTGCATGGAAATATCAAATTTACGCAGTTAAACAAGAATAACGCATTCTATTTTCAGCAAATTTAATTTTTTGTCCAAATATTGTTTAATTTATATTACTATTCGTGAAATATTAACACTTTTTAAAAATTTTTGCTATTAAAAAATGTAAACTTGCATATATTATCTTTATTATATCAAATTGTGGTAATAGAATGAAGAGAAATAAATACAATATTCACAACTAAATGGAACTGCTATGTTTATAAGTCATTTGTTTTTAAAAAAATAAATGCTATAAGTCTAAAAAGTGTGGCTTTACAAAGCCATAAATCACAATAGATTTCAACTGCAAATTTTTCTCATTCGAAAAAAAACGAGTAGAATAGATTTTCTATAAAATTCCTAGCATAATTTTTGATGATAATTTGGCAAAAGTAAATATATAGAAGAAGGTTAGAAAACCAGAAACACTTTCCACACTCACTCTTCACTGCATATGGCTTGCTTCACTAACTCTTGCTGTAGTTAGACATCAGTTTCTGAAAGTGTACCGGAAGTAAATTATATTTTCAAATTGCTTAAGAACCGAACGAATGAAAAGTTGTCAAGCCTTAAATTGCGCTTTTTTGTCGTAGCAGACATTTGTTTCATAGATTTTTTACTTCTAGCCAATAATACAGACTAGATGTCAGCACAACTGATCAAGTGGACTACAATGAAACATTTATCAAAGTGCAATAAAAATAGAAAATCACTTGTAAAAACATCACAGTGCATGATTGAATAAAAAAGTCAAAAAATTTGAATACAATACACAATCAATAGCATGCATATTGATTTTGACAAAATTGCAATTGTGATTAGCAAGAAAATTCCTCAACATAAGTATATTTTAAATAAAATATCATTTTTGACAAATAGTGTAATGAAGTTTGAGTTGTTACTTCTGAAGTATGCCCTTTTATTAGTTATTTGCTTCCTAAAGTTTGTTTTTCAGCAAGTATCTGCATTTTCATAATTGACCACAAGTCTTTAAAGTGCTCAATACTTAACACTGTCAAAACCAAAAGAAAAATCGTTATTTTTATTTAATTCACTTACTTTTCTGCATGATCCTTACATCTTTTTCAACTGTTAGTTTGATTGCTATCTCAAATGTTAGTTAGTTTGATCTGAAACATTAAGAAAAATTTGTTCTTATAAAAACGTTCATTTCTGTGTCACAAAAACAGTATTTGATCTAATAATTTTCACTTAGCTATCACGTTTTGATAAAACTAGAATAACTTGTCAAAGAAGGAATTACAAAAGATTTTTGTAAGTTGACAAAAGCAAGTTGTAATGAAAAACTATTTTCATTTCATAGATATCGATATCAATAATGTTCAAAGTGCTATGAAATTATTTTCGTTCGGTCAAATAACTAACAGATTTTTATCCAACAATATTACTTGTTGCAATTTGCATTGCAAATTGACAACAAGTTTTAATAGTGAAATGAATGCTCAGTAAGCAAAAATTCTGATGCAAATTGCTGATAAATGAGAGCTGAAGATTATAATTAACACAAAATGTTACCATTTGAACTTCAAATTTGTTTAGTCTCCAACATCAATTTTTAAAAATTTATTTTGGAGCAAAAACCCTAATATTCTAATTATGCAAACTTTATCAGGCTATAATAGATTCATTTTAAGTGAATCCTTAGCTAAAAAAAATATATTCAATACTTTCAGCACAATCTTTTTGAAGTATTTCAAAAATGTAAATGTCATCAGTGTAACTTGATAGAACTGCAAAATAAGGATGGATAAATTTCGAATAGCCAAACACTTTCTTAATTGGCAAACATTTTCTCCCATTTAAAAAATAATTATTTTCCTGTTTTTTTCTTACCAAGAAAGTTGGACAGGGTTGGTTATTGCTCAATGCTAAGCATTCTAAAATTCTGGATAAATTATCTCTTCAATTCTTTTGACATTCAAATTTTATATCCATGTTAATTTGTACCATTCTAATGATATTTTTAACTGCGCATTTATGACATTGTTTTTTTACTAAACGACTTTCATAACAATCTGGTTCTCAGAATTTAGACTTCATTTCGAGTTAAGCTATGAGGGAGTGATAAGCACTTCATGACCGATAACAAATTTATTTAACCTTTATGAATTAATCAAATTATCATACTAAGAAGTCAAATTCATTATCTTTTAGCTCTATAAATAATACGAATTCTTCACAAAAATACTCATAAATAACTTATTTTGTATATTAAATAATTTAAAATCATTGAGCTACACTGGAATTAAGTTTTAATTAGAAGGTTATCAGAAAGCAAGCTATTTTTCGAGCTTTACAAAGTATTCAACAAAATGATAAGGTCTAATAAAAACAATACTGCCAATCTCATACTGATGTGGTTATCATTTTGATTCATTCACTTATTCCTAAATTTATATTTTGTTAAAACTTGAGCCCATTTCAATATTATCCAAAACATTTATCATTACTACATTGCTCAGTGAATATTTCTAAAACATATTTCACATATAGTTGACGAAGTTTTGGTCGGATTACATCATTCAGCAGCAGAAAAATGAAACGAGTTTTCATGACTTTAAAATTAAGATGAATATTTAATAAGCCAACATGTGGACTGAACATTTCAAAGATATTTGAAATAGCTAAAACAAGTTTTCACTAATATCATCTTCTAGATAATAAAGTATTTGAATTAACATCTTTCTTTATCTGTGATTTTCATAGATAACATTAACACAATACGAGAAATGACGTAAGGGAAATAAATTTGACCTTAATATTACCAATTATTAACCTTTTTAGAAACTAAAACAATTGTCTGCGTTTATCAAATGATGCAATTTTATCACTACTACTTTGTAAATTTAATAAAATTTATATATTTTAACACATTTATTACTTTAAAAACTTACTTGTGATATAATTATTTTTGCGCAGTTTCTTTTCTCAAACATTTTTTTCAATGAATGACTGCTTGATGATGTTTTGCACTATTCGTACAGTTGAAACGATTCCCTTCACACCAAATCTCTTTACTGCTTTTACCAAATGAATATGAATTTCTTCTTGTTCATCACTCTTGTCATAATTCACTTGACTTATTCATTGCAAGGTTAGCTTTCAATAAAATTACTAGTGTGCGCAAAAGTTTTATTTAACTTCCGATTTAAGAATGATCGTTATAATTTCCACATATTTAGAATATAATCTAAATTATTGGTACCAACATTTTTTATAAAAATTAATATTTCATTCATTACTAAATAAGGCGTTGAAATAAATCACTGTTATTTCTTTGTTATTTATTGGCTTGACTGCTTTGTTCCGTTTTGTGAAATCATTGCTAAACCAGAGTTTTGTTTCATTATCAAGAATTTCAGGGCAAGACTGTCATGACCTTAATAAAAATTGTCGTGATTGGATTTCAATAGAAGCTTCGTTGTGCAAAACTGCAGATTATATAATTGAAAAATGCACTAAATCATGTGGTTTTTGCCATGCAAAAATAGATCCAAGTAAATCTATTATTTATAAACTTTATTGTGATTGTACCAATACTTTTAGTGAGTAGAAAGTTTTTTCAAGTAAAATTGAATTTTTTTGCATTACTACAAAGTTTCCTGATTGATCACATTCAATATTAGCAGACAGTTGCACATTGTACTTCAACTTTTTTACTGCTGTTTGCTTGCCTATCCTGTCTTAGTTAAACTAGTTTGTATTCGGTTTTAAATTTACGCCTTATCATTATGTACTTTGGAACACTTTTTTTCAACCTTCAAAAACTCATTAAAATATGAAGTTTGTGAAGTTATTTGTTAAAATTTGTAGAGTTATGATATTGTAAAAATTTATGTGTAGGTTTTATACAACACTCTTGTAGAGTTTGATATTTCGAGAGTTCCATCTCATCTGCAACCAATTGCATGGCTTATTGGCATTTGGAGATCAGAGCATGGTGGAAAAGCAATATTTCCAACAATACCAACTTTTACATATGGAGAACAAGTTGAAATTTCGCTTTCTGACCCCCATATGACTGGATTAAAAGCTCTCAATTACACGTTAGTAATTTTATTAGCTACTGTGTCAGATTCTTGTTCCTTAAAATTGCAAAACGAAGATTTCGGCATTAAGTTTTTACACACTATTCAAGTTCCAACTTATCTCTGCAGAAATTAAGTATTTTATAGTTAAACTTCAGTTCAAAAAGAAATCTTTATTAATCTTATTTCATAAAATAAATAGAAAATTAATCCATTTTCAAAAGCTAAATAAATATTACTATAATAATTAACAAATAAGTATAAATGTTTCATTTCCAGAGCTTTTGCTTGGGGATCAAAAGGAGATTTAGAATTACATAGTGAATATGGTTACATAACATTAGAACCTGGTACTTCAATGATTTCGTTAACCACTGTAATGGATAATGGTAAGCTTTTAGCGTTCATGATTTTTTCAAAATGCATTTATAAAAAAGAAACGCTTATAAAAATAAATGAATGTATCGAGAGTTAAAGAGAAAATAGAGCAATCAAGTTATATTTTTGTAATTCAATTAATTTCATAAAATCTTAGCAAGTTGTTTATGTTAAAAATATGCATATTTCATGTTTTGTGACTGTTGAACAAGGCGTCGTCGAAGCAAATCGTATTGCATTTAGACTGAAAGATATCGGAAGAATTAGTTTCAGCAGAGACTTACCTGTTCTAGAAGTATGTCATTTTTGACCAAATTAGTTATCTCGAATTTTGTGATGGGTGACCAAGCATTAATTAGTGAATTTAACTTATGTTTAAGTGATATTTCAAAATAAAAAGTTTAAAAAAGCATTAAAAATGAACTGAATGAAATTTTAATATTGTAATCAAATTATTGCTAAAGAACTTTGAAAATTTTATTCTTGTAAAAAAATTTTTTAAATTAAAGTTCAGAATTGAGCATGAAAGGATTTTAAATAATGTAGTTGTCAAAAATTTAGGCAAGAAAAAAAAATAACTCTTCCAATTATAGATTTTAAAAACTATGCTAGCTAAAATATTGCTAATTACAGCTTGTACGAGAATGGACATTATTGGACAAAGATACATTTCAAGCACGTCTTGAAATGGAAACATTAACTCACGGAATGCAAGAGCATACATTTATTCGCTACAAAAGAATTTATCCTTGAAAAGTTATTGTTTCCGTATATTTTTCAATAAATTTTCTCACTGCATGCAGTATTATAAAACAAAGTACAATAATTTTTAATATTTTAATATAATTTCTAGTATTAGAATTGGAGCACAAATAATTTTGCCAACAAAAATTTTCGACGTTAACCAAACAGTGAAAATTCTTCTAAAACTAAATTTTGCAAGAAAATCAAGTTTACTTCTATTATACTTCATTAATGATAGCCACATATGCCAGTCATTTTTGAGTTTTTATAAAACTGTCTGAGAAAAGTATACTGATTATAATTTATAAAATGAATAAATTGCTCACTTTTGTTAAATCAAGTTTGAGTTAAAAGTTTTTGAATTTTGAATTTTGATCAAATTCATGTTTATGCATAAGCCCTGCGCAACCCAAGTTCAAAATTGCAAGCTCATTTTTATAATGACTCTGAATTATCCAATAAGTACACAAGCATAAATATTGAAAGAAGTTGTCATGAATTGAAAACAACATAATTCCTTTGATTTAAAAAATCAGTTAATAAGTTAAGCAAGCTCTTGATCAGCCAAGTAATTCCTGTACTTTATCTTATTCATTTGATGTCACTGTTAGCACTGGGGAGATACCAGGCAATGTTCTGCGCAACTATACTGAAATTCATCAGATCTTAAGACTCGCAACTACTGTCATATGGATAATGCTGTCAGCAAACCAGCCATTTACTTTAGCGATAAAGTGAATAAATAATTAATTTGCACATGTTCAATTATAGTGACAAGCACTTGGTGAAAAGATCAAATAATAACTCAAAAAAACAATTCATGATCTAAAGAATTTGTTTTTCTGTTCAATTATTTAATGAGATGATTATGATTTTTGAAACTCTTAAGATAAATAATTAAAATTTTTCTGCTAGAAAAAAATATCTTCGTTTAAATTTGGCATAACACAATACTTTTCTAAGCATATCTTATCTAAGAACATATTACCTATTGCTAGAAGTTCTCATTCTAACCGTAATAAAAATTAGCGCAATAGTCTACAAAAAGTAATAAAAAATAAATAATACTAAAAGTTTTGTCAATTTTAATATTAATATTAATAATATTATCATTATATAATGCAATTATTTCGTTTTCTTTAGTCATTTGCTTTTATTTCAAAGCATTTTTTAAAGTCCATTTCTCAAACTGCAAAACTATTTCAGAAAAGCAGTTTTGCCACTGCCTTATCGATGCAGTAAATTAACTTTTAACCTGGAATTGCTGAGTCATTTGCATACGTAACACTCATTTCAATAATCAAACAACAAACTGAAAATTATTTTAATTTACAAGCAAAAAAAATAATGTATTAAATTAGTACAAAAAAAACTGATGAAAATTTAATTGTAATCAAAGTCAATGTATAAACATAAATGAAATTCTGGTGTTTGTGAATATTCTAAAAATTTTATTGAAGTTAATTATAGCTACTTCGCTCACTAAATGATATTATGCGATAAAATTTAAAAATAGTACTGCTCAACTAAATAAAACTGTATATAATACAACTCAAACAATGAAAAAAAAACTGATTTTGGCTCGCTGGTAAAAATAATATTTCATTTCAAACCTCAAATTTTTCATCTTTTTTTCTGTGTATTTATGCATTACTAAAGTTAAAAAACATCTATGAAACCGTACAAAATTATAGTTTCGACTTTTGTTAAAATATCCACTACTGTAGTTTATAGATATTTTTACAAATTTTAATCATTGAGTTTGCATGAATGAAAATTAAATTGTCTTTTAAAGTAGGTTTCTGTTTCATTTATCTTGTTTGGACTACATTTACTGTCAGTTAGTTTGAAAATTGCTCTTTATCAAAATAAATAATGGAGCAAAAATTAATCCAAATGTACTGTTGCAAAAATTAGGTAGTCTGGTCAGCTTGAGGAAGTGCTTATAGTATGAGACAGATAAATAACAATCACAAGTAATTAAAAGTTGGAGTAAAATGTTATATTTTAATGAAGTAAGCAAAATGATTTTTTAAGGAAGTGTAAAAAATGCTTTTGATAGGAATGCACTGCTGGTATTTAATTTTTTAGCAAATGTGCAATAAATGGACAAGTGTATTTCAGGCAAACGTTTGATGGATCAGAAATTCATAATTCAGTGCAGTTTTTTTCCCGTATGCAAAATCTTTTTCGATTTTTAAATAGATAGTGAATTTTTAAATATTTAAAAAAAACAATGCAATTGTAACACGAATTAATATTGGAAATTTTGCATTCGTTAAAGCAATCATGCAATCTAATGAAGCTGTTCAAAAATTATTGCAAATGGTAAATCATTAAATATCCAGAAGACGAAGAAAATCCAAAGTGACACAAGGAAAAATTATTACCTTCATGCAAACAAGGAAACCTGTTCTTTGTTGACAAAACTTTTCATTTAAACCTCGCCATGTTTTTCAACTTGTTTACTGCAACACTTCCGCTTAAATTTTATTTAAATGCTTTACTGATAATACATTTTGACCCTATAACATGGGCCATGACTAATTCTAATCTTGTCTTGGATCCTATACTCGAAAAGATTTGTCAAAAAAGCTCTAATTTATCGTACTGCGCTGCTACTAATTTCACAGCAATTACAGGTCAAGCTTGAAAAAATTATAAATACTTTAAATTTGTTCTTGAATAGAGTTAGCTCTTTTTCGTGTGTTTGACTTTATGTATTTGAAGGTGAATTACAACTGTTAGGAAATGCTGCTGAAACAAATACAACCATAGAAACGTTTGCCTCGGTAAAAACTTCTTATGTATAGAGCAACCTTTAGAACGGCTATTTTGATGTTTGAATGTGTTACAAATCTAAATAAAAAACTACATTTATATATAATTTTATACAAAACAAAACTTTTATCAACACTTTTTTGTGCACAATTATGATCGCTTATAAATTCAAAGTCACTGAGAATCGCTTTATTCAAATGGCGATCTAAAATCGAAATAGCTAACGTTAAGGGTAAGATCTGAAAGCTGCTAATATTTTTAAAATTTATTGAAGGTAATTGTTTTTATTTTCTTAATTTTTTTTAAAATAAAATAAAATTGTATTCAAAAGATATAAAAGTCAGTTTTATTGAAAATAAAGTTTACAATCTTCTGAAAAGAATTATGATTTAAAACAAATAGCATTCAGAATGAAGCTAAAACATTGAGCACAGCTGACTTCGGAAATCAATCAAATCCTACGATTGATGACTTGGTAAATCATTTTAATTACAGTGTTGGATGAGCACAGGCGTTTTTGTCTTTCTAGTTAGTATAAGTTATTTAAAATTGGAATCAGTAGTAATCTCATAATTTTATTTTATTTTTTTTGAAGTATTATGACATAATTTGATGCAAGAAATCTTCAAAACATACAAAACTGATTATTCATTTGAAAACAGTTTGCTTCAGAAGTTGTTAAAACCACCAGTTGCTATGATCTAACTACTACCATTTTTAAAAGCTTTCGTATATATTGTTTCATAAAAGGTATTGCAATAATGCCATTCAACTTTGTATTGTAACGATAAGCATTGGTTAAGCTTGCATTATTCATTACGACAAATATATTTTCCAGGCGTGTAACTCACTGAGAATAGAATTTGAGCAGAATTGCTTGGTTACTCCATCTATTACTACACTTCATGAGACAAAGGCGTTTTGTAATGCTTATGTTGTCAAATGTCGGAATTTGCTCGAAAAAACTGGGCAAGTTTAAATTATAAACTTGTTATCTCTACTCCATAGAATACACGTAATAAGTGAAATTCATTCGAATCATCACAACATATTTTTATCAATGAAAGAAATTAATATTTGAAATAGTTCAAAACTTACTCATTTTAATCTGAAAACATGATTAAAAACAATTTCATTTCAAGTGAAAATCGTACTTCTTAATAGAAGATAAATAATAATGAAAGAAGATATGAATGACATTTTGTAGGATCCAAATCAAAACAGATCATGAAGTATATTGCCGGAAGCATTTAGAACGCTATCAATACGTATGCCCTGATCCACTTCGATTCCGGAAATATGCAGCAGGTGCACTGATGTTCTGTGAACGCTATTCTCGAAGGTGCCCTGACGAACAAGTGCCGAAAAAACCTGTTCCATTCGCCCAGGTGCCTTACCTTACCTAATAATGAATTATTATTATTTTTTTTGAAAAACTTTAACGTCCTTTGATTTTTCATATCTTTACTACCTCATAATTTGCTTATTCATTGATTGCAGCACAAAATAATCCTATTTTTCGGAAGAATTTGAACTTTCAAATGAATTTCATTAAAAAATAAACAACAAACTCAATGCAAAGTAATTATTAGTTTTTTAGCTTTCAAAAATTATAAATATAAGTTTTTTTTTTCAGAAAAAAGAGTATTATATACGCGAATTGAAATATTTCTGTAACAGAGAACGCAGTTTTGCAGAATTATATTGCACAAATAAAGTTGCTCTGAAACTACCTAAATACTTCATACATTGTCTTCACTACAAACATACCTGTATTGATGCATTTAAGAGAGTTATTTACACTGGATAAAAAATGGGTTTTTTAATTTTTGCTGTTATTAGCATTAGTTTGAATACAATGTTCAATCACGAAGTTGGTATGATTTAAATAAGAAACGCAAAACATTTACTATACTATTTGTCAATATTTTTCGCTAAATTTATTTGAATACTGAAAATTTGAACAAAAGAATCCTTCTTTTTAAACTGCAGATTCTTTTAACATTTCGAAGCACTTCTGATTACATTTAATACATTTGCATTTTATCGTTTTGTGCTGAATTAGGTAGTAGAATTTGAACGGAACTGCTTGGGATATTCATTGAAATTTGAACGGAATAATGTACTCCAATTTTAATGACTATATGATTTTACACTGTGTTTGTTTAATTGATTCTACAAATGAGTTAAATTTCTACAACCTCTAATATCGCATGCATAATTTTTTTGTTTATGACAAAAAATATTGCAATTAAATGAAAGGAATCAGCAAGTGTTTATTCAGATAAAATGCATTGGCCGTTAATTTCCTATCTGTTTTTATTTCTTACTGTTACAACGGCTAAGTTAATATTACAAAACGGTAATGTTGCGTCCGTAAAATTACCCTGTAAACATGATAAACATATTTCAACGTGTGATCATTATACGCGAATTATCATAAACAATAGACAGAAGCGTGAAAGCAGTGATGAGAAGAAACGTCAAGAAGAACTCGTTGACAAGGTAAAATAAAAATCTTGGAAAATATTTTAATAAACAAAAAGAAAATTGAAAGCAATGATAATTATTTTGTAATGAAAACAATTTAATGCATGTTTTGAAGTCTAAATATATCTTTTAAAGTAACCAAAATTTATGAAAATATTTTTGCAAATGCATTTTCTAAATGATAATAAAATTAATGAAGTAATACATCTCAGCCATAAAGTATTTCAATATCTTTGCAAAAGTTCTGACTACGTAGAGTTTCAAAAAGCACAAAATGTAAAACTAATACTTAAATAAGAGATGAAGTTCAGGCAGCATGTCAGGTACTGATATCAAATTATCAGATATCGTGCATAAATGAAGAAGATTTGAAAAATGCTGAAGAATCAACTAAAGAATTTTGTAAAGCATTTCAACATATATGCTTGCAGTATTTTAAAAATATTGCGATTACAGAAAAAAATTCGCAGTAAGTATTTGCTGTACACTTTGTATAGATTTTTGCAGGAAAAAAAATAGATTGTATAAAAGGCATTTTATATCACATTTGAATTAATTGATGTGCAAAAAAAATATTTTTCATTTTTTATTTTTGAGCAATCAAAAAAATAATTCAAAATTGCTCAATTATAGGTTATCAGGAACAAAACTAAATAGTGGGAAAAATCGAGATTTCACTCAGTTTTGCATTGATTTCAAACAGCGCTATCTCTATGTCTGTCCTGATCCACTACGTTTTGGAAAAAAAGCTGTAGTATGTTTCAATGCATTTGATAGAATACTAACAAATGAGGAAAAACTACATGAAAAGAATTAAATATACAAAAAGTCATACTTACTTGAAACAAAAATCATAGTACACTAATATAATTTGAGTGGAATCAAATAGAAAGTAATAACTTTTATGGTTGAGTATGTAAGTTATTGTTTGAATATATAAATCTTAGTGGAAATATCAAATAAAAGTATGTATTATTTGTTTTTGCTTGAAGATTTATTGAATGCAACAAATGAAAATATCTTATTTTTCAAAGGCAATTAAAAAAAATTATCATTATTGTAAGGATTACGATTTATTGTTTTATTGCTGTTATCGTACCGTAAATGTTATAAGCACTGATATCTTATTAAAGACATTTCACAGTACACTTACATTCAATTTCAATACTGTGAAATTACTGAAATTAATAACTATATCAATTGATTATATTTTTGAAATGCTCATATTCTTTTGGGTGAATGCAAAAAACATTACTCACTGACCAACAAGTCAATAATACATATTTGACAACTATCGAAGAACAATTGGATATTTGATAATTTTAGGTTTTCTGTCCCTTATATGCAGAGAAGTGTCAAGTTGCACTACCTGAAAAGCCGATGGTACCACCTTCTCAACGTACAAGGCAAGAAGCTCGTGCTTCAATTGCTCGCTTATGTGCGCAAAATTATAAATTTGCCAGAAATTATTGCCGCAACAATATTTTACGGCAATATCCGCAGTACAGAGATGCTTGCATGAAATATAAATACTTTTGTATGCATAAACCTCGAGTTTGAATAGCAAAAGCAAGACAAAAATTGTTTAAAGTTCGGTTATAAAAATTATTATAATTGCACTGATGTGCTCAATTTACGTAAATATTTGACGTATTGAAAGCCGGGATAAAGTTTTAAAATATGTTTTATTAAAAAGAAGTTAATATTCTGCAAATTCTCGACTTTATCAAAACGCTGCTGAATAAAACATTAGATGACTAAACAACGACAATCATATCGAGAATTATAGGCGAAATTCATACATCTCCCAGGACAGAAATGTTCTGGATCCATGCATTTACGAGTGACAGGATTGAAACCACAAACATGAGGTGCTAACGTGTTACTACTGATAGGTTTAGATGGACTTTTTATGACAATTCCAGTGAAAGCATTATTCTGAAATCGTAATGAATGCATAATTTGATTTCTGTATAAGAATTTTTTTGACCACCGGTTACATCTCATGAAATACTTTGTGATCAAAATTATTTTTACGTAACATCAAAAAATTGTCAGGTACATTTCTTTTCTTAACTACTGCTTACTTTGCAAAATAAAAGCAAATTTTTCTTGTATTTAACAGACTTAAAGTTCTAAACAAGATCTTGACAAAATTTTACTCACCTGATTAGCTCCATACCAATGATTAGTATAAAATGGCGCTTGTCCAAAAGTAAATCCGATAATTATTAGAAATGTGGAAATAATACGATGCATAATACTGATTGAACTAAAACGATCGCAGCAATTATGAAAACTGCAATTTGCGATCGCTGCCTATTCATATTATCAATAGTGTAATATCAATTTTAGATCATTAATTTCAGTAAAGTCTTAGCAAAAAAGAAGAAATCTGTTGGACAATAATTGAAAGGTTAAGCGCAAGAAGTAATTATATGATTTGTTGCAACTTAGTTGGAAATGAATTCAAGAAAGAAGTTAGCTTTTAGTTGGATTGCAGTTTATTCTTAAATACTTGGTGACTATATTGATAAACAAGCAAATTTTAAGTAATAAATCACGTTATGATCAATTACTCTTTAGCGCACATTCTATACATTTTAAACAATGATATTAGTAACATATTCATTCAGATTCAATTTTCACTTTTAAAATCTCAATTTATTGCCTTTTTTTCCCTTTTGCTTCCGAACGCAATGAAATTTCGTTCTTGAGATGAAATTATATGTAAGTTAAAAAAGGAAGAATGAAAATCATTTTTTAGTTGACCTCCGATGGCATACTTGTTTCATCGTTACTTTTCTGCTAAATTTGAATCAGTTAACATTAACTATTGAATTCTTCTATGTTGCGTGCTTCATTTAACTTGCATAAATGATCAATTGATTTCACTCACTTTTCTGAACTAATAAATGCCTGAAAATTAGGCTTTTTTCAATTTTCATCCATATGAATGATCTCTCGTAATGAGTGAGTTTTATATTTAAATCTATTAATTATTTTTCTTTTAAAACTTTATGATTTCTATTAGAGCATGCAGTGATCAGTGATGACCTGCTTTCCTTTCATGTCCATTTTTAAAGTTCGTTTTTAAAATGAAATTCATAGCGTGTCAAAGTAAACGGTATTGCTCAGCTTTTTCAACTTTTTACCGGCAAGTTACACAGCAGCAAGCGGATTCGCTTTCACCATCAAAGGACTAACGACGGTTGTTTCATTTACTGATTCATCAATACTTATTTTTAAAATTTCAAATGTTACTCATTCATGCCACATTAATTTGTCTGCGATTATATGGAATTCATGCATTTTTCTACATCAGTAATCAGCCATGGGAATCTCTGTCATCTCCGCAACTTAATTTTGCTTACTTTTCACCCTATTATGGGCAAGCATTTCCGAAAATACCAGTACCTGTAAGTTTAATGACAAGTTTAATTATTGCACAAAATATGATTTTTTGATGATTTGAATTATTAGTATTTCAGGTATATGGACAAAGTTCTAATTTCCCTTACAACACATTGCTTCCATTATTTTCTCAACCACTTAATCTTTCAAAAACTTTATCATTATCAACAACATTTCTACAAAATCTCACTCCGACATCGTCACTGGTTGCTAACAGTTCTATTCTACTTTCCAAACGTAATGAGTATGTTGGTCATGTCACTGAAATAAAACCGATTAATAATGGTACAAAATTAAATTACACATCAAAAAAGAATGATATCTCAGAGGATAAAAGGTTGTACGTACCAGATTTTCTACACAATACTTCAGATGAAGTTAAAAATAAAGTAAGTTAAAAATCTATTGCGTAACAATAAATCTTTCCATCTTAATCAAAAAACTGTTGAAGTAATTATATATATATATAAATAAGCCAAGTTGACCAAACTACAAAAAAATAAATTTTTAGAAAAATTCAAAACCTTTAAATGGCTTATATTGCAGTTTTATGAAATTGTTTCCAACCCATATGAAAGTTTTCAACAGAAGCAGAGCAAACTCGATCAACTAGTTTTCGTATTAAGCAACGAAACTTGGGTACAAAAATTTTGTTCTGAATCTGATTGAATGTTTTTACAACTAATGCAGATAAGAGATTTCAAAAATAATCGAGAACTGCAACAATTATACTAGAGTAATTTTGCAGAAGATGTATAATCAGTATCAGGAAAAGAAGGATTTAGAAGAAAGGAGAAGACGTAAACGGATTCATGATGTTGTGGCAAGCATGTCTGAAAAAGCGCAAAGTGTTTTTTCAAAGGTTTTATTTTGTACGATAATTTGAAGTTAGATTAGAGTATAACTTTCTTTTGCAATAATTTTCCACCTAATTCATTGAAACACAAAAATTGTAATATTTGAGAATAATATTTTAAATAAGTTT